TGGGAAGCAAAACCTGCAGCTCGTGTTTCTTGTTACAGAGGCACTGAGCACCAGTGATTGCCATAAAATACTTTATTTAACCTTTGCAAAAATGTTTTTTTTAAGTATGGCACGGCAGTTCTTTCAGTGAAAATGAATTGTTTTCAAAGGGTTGGATTTCATTAACATTTGTATCATTTAAAGACTTCATTGTTATTTTGTTGATTACAGTCAAGAAGAAGTATTGTAATTTCCCACTTAAAGTACATAATAAAAATAAATGAAAAGAGACTTAAAATTCCTTTGGTTTTGCCTTAGTGGTATACAGCTAAAACCTCAAAACACATTTGTTTCAGATGTAAATTTGTTAAAAGATTTCAATTATGGGATTTAAAAGTAAACCCTTTATCTAATAGCTACTTAAAAACAGCAATAAATAGAAGGTAGAAATTTAGATTCCCTTGTTTTGGAAAACTGCTGAAAATCTCAATGAGTACGTACGGTTAAAAAAGAATTTCTCAGAATTATTCTTTTCCCTTTATTCTTTTTATTCTGTCAAAATCTATCCTCTAAATGTCTCACTGCATTTTGTTCAAACTGTACTTCTTTAGCAGATAATGTATCTAGCACGCTTCTTTCAAGATTTGAGACCCTCGCTTGTTCAGAGGTCCTTGATATCATTTGGATTCAAGATGTTTCTTGAGTATATGATTCTGCTCAGTTTCAGAGATCTGGTGCCTAAAAGTACAAAGTACAATTTAACAACGGCTTCCTGGCCCCTTGAAATTGTAACGCTGTTAAGAGCAAGTAAGCCAGAGTGCCACTTGTCTGGAAGGAGGAAAATGCACTATGCCAACCTTTTCTATCCCAATATCCTCCAAATACATTGGAGCACATCACCCAGAATTCCACGTCACTGGGCCTGCTCCTCATATTGACTGGGAATTCTGTGGGCTGAAATGCAACACGTCTGCAGGCTCGAGTAACCAGAATTTGAATTGTGTGATGTAGTGGGTAACTTTTGTGTATGGACCTCTGCAGAAATTCTCTTAGGTATGGCTCTGTTTTATTGGAAAGAGGGGCTATCCTTAACCCTTTCCCTCCCAGTTTTATAGCAATTTATACTACAGTGATGCTTAAAAGTTTGTAAACCCTTTTGAATTTTCAATATTTCTGCATAAATATGACCTAAAATGTGATCTGTTCTCCAGACAAGTCCTAACACTAGATAAATAGAACCCAATTAAACACATGAGTCCAAAATATTATACTTGTTCATTTATTTATTGGGGAAAATGATCCAAATTCAAACAGGTTCGCAAACATTTAAACATCACTGTATCTGTTACTTTTATCAAAGATCTCATACTTTTTTGGATTGCAAAACTAGATTTCATTAATGGTATAAATGATTCCCAATAGCAGTCTATAAACAATTTTGTTCAAAATTAAATACAGTCGGTTAGAATAGAAATTTTTCAAATTAAATTAATAGAGGTAAACTGTAGTGGGTTCTATAACCAAGATCAAATATAAGGTGCAAGTCAAATTTGTTTGTACTTAATTTGTCTCCCAGTTTGGCAAGTTGATCATAAATATTTACACCAGATTTTTTTACTTGCAAAGAAAAAGTAAAAACTTCTTGACAGTGCACTAGCATAGCAGGTGGTGAAAATGTTATTTTCTGATGTGGTGGATGGCAGCCTGACAGCAGTTTAAGATGATCTGGGAATTATCTATGTTAATTACCCCACTCTTCTGGAGTAATGCTACAAAGGACCAAAGAAAATGGTACTATGGAACCCAAATATTTGGAGATTTAGGCTTCTTATCTGAGACTTTCTATCTAAATAGACAATCCCTTTTTAAAGAGAAAATACATGAATTATACCATTTTTCCTGATTATTAAAATATGATGTAATGGGGTTACCTCTTCCAATTTATGTTAAAAGGATTAATGCAAGAAAGAAGTTCATGATTGTTGATGTTGAGATTCGCAGCAATACTGAGCAGAATGTTTGGAATAAATAATCTTTTTTTCTTCATCTTTACTTGTGCTTGCTATACCTAGGGCTGTCCTTCTGTCTTTTTTTATCAAGCTATTTTTTTTCTTGTCCACTGATAATTCATTTTCAAAGTCAATTCCTTTTTCATTAATTTCATGAATTCTAGTTTCACTAGGTTTTCTTTTTAACGTTTACAATTAATGGAAGATATCTGACTAAACCCCATTCTTTTCTTCTTAATCTGTTGTAGGTTTAAGTCTCTTGTAAAGGACTGTGTCACTTCAGAATTCTGTATACTGTCAAACATAGCCGTCAGGTTGATGCATAACACTATTCCATAATTGATTTCTTTTGCTCATTATTTCTTATGTGCAAATTAGGGCCCTGTGGCTTGTTCAAATTATGATTCAAAATCCTGGCTTTGCCATGTTATATATGTGGTAGACATGTTAATGGTTTATTACTAAGTGGATTCAGCACGAACAGGCAGAAACCAGTACAGGTAGTCCTCGCTATCTGATCGCAATAGGAACTAGAATTTAGGTCACTAAGCAGTTTGGTCATTAAGTGAATCGGAGCTGATTTTACAACCTTTTTAGAATGGATGTTAAGAGAATCACATGTTCGTTAAGCCAATCACATGGTCATTAAGCAAGTCCAGCTTCCCTGATGGATGTTTTTTGCCAGAATTCACTTAACAACCACATGATTGGCTTAATGACCATCATAAAAAAGGTTGCAAATCACAATCACGTGACTGCAGGGGTCGTAAAACACTTTTCTCAAGGCTGTTGTAACTCTGGACCGTTTTTAAATGAACAGTCGTTAAGAGAGGACTACCTGTAATGATTCAGAATTTCTTCTGGGAAACGCTTTCTGTTGGTTGCTTTGGAATGTTTCTTTATTTTAAGTTTTACAAAACTTAAAAAATAATAATAGTGTAGGGGGAAAAAACAGGAGCACTAACCTGGATAGTCTATATTCAGGCTAATTATTATCTTTATTTTATTTTATTTTATTTTATTTTATTTTATTTTATTTTATTTTA